TCTCCCCCCCTTCTCATTGGGACTTTTTTTTTAAATTTTCGCCAATTAAAAAGGGTTGATCTCCCCCCACAAAAACCCCCCCACCGAGCTTGGGTGGTGGGGGAATTCTGGGAGTTGAAGTCCACTCATTTTAAAGTGGCCAAGTTTAGACAACACTGTCCTAAGGGAATGGAAGAGAGAACCCCCAAGCCAACTAGCAGGAACCAAATGTCCGCAGTAACCGCAGTGGCCATGAGGAAGCGGCATTCGGGTGGAGTATTCGAACCCTGATGCCACAACACGTGTTTACAGTTTCCCTATTGTGAGAACCAACACTCATTTCCATGCCAGGTCCAATCTCTCCCCATTCTTTTTTTTTTTTAAACATCGATGGCATTGTCCACTATGGTATCTTCTAGCAGTGAGTTCCCCAAGCTTGTTACGACACAAGTTTGCCCCTACCTGAGTCCACACCCGGTTCCTCTCCTGGTCTTTGCCCTTCAGCCGGGGGCCAATTGTATTCTTCAGCTCAGGCAGGAGGTCCTCCATCACCAGATTGCTCAAGATCTAGAGGATGAAAGAATCCCACAGCCCTTCAGCCACAACAACATCCCCATTTGCCTGCTGTTTCACAGCCAGCTCTCCCCTTCCTTGGTTTATTATTCACTCCCCCATAGATCATCTCACTTCGAAGGAAGAGGAGTCAAATCTGGGGGATAGAAACGCCATCCATGAATGCCAACAAGCGCATTTACAGGCAAGGCTGATCTGGTGTTTTGCTCTTTCATTGGGCTGCCAAAGGAAGTTCTCCGTATCTGCTGCTTCCCCCTTCCCTGGGGATAACACTGTTAATGCTTCCCATGGAAGACTTTTGCCCACACCTCAACTTAAGCCTCAAGTGTGGGTGTGTGATATAGTAAATGGGGTGGGAGAAGATGGATGGCAAGTCTGAGCCCACAAGCCTCTTGCTAACAACTTCTACATGAGTCATCCAACAGCCAAAGGCACCAAACAGCCAACACATTCTTATCTGCTCAAGTGTTCCAACAGTACAATGAAAACTGATCAGCAGTTGTCGGCTTTGTGGATTAAACCAGAGAGGAATCACCACCAGATGAGCTAATTCTACTTTATCATAAAGCTACACTGACAGAATCTTGCAAGTCTGAAAGGGCAATTCTCCCCCCGTCTCCTTTACAGCCCGAGAAACTAGAGAGGATCCCTTCTGAGCCTCTTGTCCCACCCACTATCCAGCTGAGGGCTATGCTATCTCTTATCTGACGGTTCCCTTGGCAGCGTCTCTTGCCCCAGTCTCCCAAGGTCTTTCCCACACGCCATTACAGCAGTGAACCAATCCAAGCTTCCTTTTCTTAATTATTTAAAATTATTCAAAATATCAGCCCTTTGGTTAAGAGGAGCGTTGCCAAGCGGGCTTTGGAGACCAACTGGCCCACTCTGCATGGTGCAAGAAACTCAGAACTAAGGCTTCCCAAACACAAGGCACTCCAACCTTCAATTCTGGACTGCAATTGCAGGGGGACCAATCACTATTTTGGCAAGTTTTGGGCCCCAGCTTCTCTATCTTAGATCAAAGATTGGTGGTGGATATGCCCTGGGAATCTGCCACCCTCCTGTAACTCACCTGGGCTTCGTTGCCACAAAGCATGTCCCAGGTGCCGTACTGCTCCTTTGACTGGCGATACATACGCACGGCGTCGGTGAATGCTGGAGCTTCCACCTTGGACTCTTCTGGAATTCCTGGAAGGAGCAAAGCAGAAACAGACAGCTACAATCATTTTTCCCCCTTTAGACGCCTAAGAAAGGAATAAAAATATTTCAATTTAATGAGACCTCGCTCAATGGAGTGCAGGCATAGCCGACAAGATTTCGCCACAAGCATCACCCTCAAAACACACAGTCTGTGATATCTGAAGTTATCCAGGCATCTTGGATAAATGTATGCCATTTTGTCAATAGATGGCGTTAATACAATTACACAAGTGGCGTGAATTGTGCAAATGAGGTATCATTATGCAACTGGTGTAAATTGATGCAAGGACGTAAATTCAGATTCCATTCATTCTGGTTGATTTCTGCACAAGTTGGTCAGTTCCCCCCTCCCCCCACCATGGTTTTTTAGGGAGCACGTTTCCTAAAATACACACATTTTGTACACAAGTCTGCCAAGTGTTATTTATTAAATTTATACGCAGCCCATCTCCCCCAGAGGGTGACTCTGGGAGGCTCAAGCATTCACGTGGGCCGGATTCTGACCCACGCTAGGCTGGGCTAAATAAAGTTGGATCATTTGCAGTTCATCATATTGGCTTAGCAAGTTGGGTAAACCAGCAGTGAATCCATGGTAGAGCTGATTTATCTGGGCACTGCATGTTATTGAATATAACGCTGTGTTTTGTTAACTCAGGTTTAACGACTGAAAGCGTTGCTGTGTTCTTGCAATCGGATTTCCTTCGTGGAACTCTCTTTGGGCTGTTTCCCCACTAACACACATACGTTATGAGGCACACGGCCCCTTTTTACAATTTTCCCCGATCAGAACATCTTCTGCTTATTTTGCATGACATCACATCATTTTAACAAGTTCAGATAACGAACAGGAACTCTGCTCCTGTCTGCACTTCAGTTCAGGAAATCTGAAGTTCATGCACTGTAACCAAGCTGACAATTAAACCAAAAATCACATACAAACACGCTTTGATTCCCAGCCCGGGCAGGCCAGCAAGACTGGAAGGATTTATCTAACCCCTGAGTATATATCTTAGCTCACTCCCCCTGAATTATCTAGAGTCAAGTAAGCTGTTAGAATCTGTCACCAGAATGGCAGGACTTGCATTTTTATCTTCCAAATTCACAGGCCTTAAATAAGAGACCCATGCATTTTTGCGGGATGTATTTGTAGTGACCGCCAGATCAGTTAGTGTGAGGCCACCAACTCACGTTCAACCCTAGTGATTCCACGGACAAGCACCCACCTCCTACTCCTCCATGTTCTTTTTTAACCTCCTCTGTCCCCTTCATCTGTTAATTCCCCCCTCAACCTAGCCAAGCGAGGCAGTTTGTTCTAGTCCACCATCCATTTGCATCACGGGCCCAAAGTATGTGAATCATTGCCTGCTGATCACAGCCTCAAGGAAATCATTTTCCTTTCTTTGCTCCAAGACTGGTCCTTTTTGCAGTCCATGGGACTCTTAGCAACTCTTTCCAAATCCACAGCTTGAAGGCCCCTATCTTCTTTCTCTCACTCTTCTCGATATCCAGCTTTTACAATCGTATGTTGCCCCTGACAAAAACCGTGCTTTAATTATTTTGATCTTTATAGTCATGGAAACAGACTTCTCCTTCATAAACTTGTCTAAACTTGCCATTGTCCTCTTCCTCTTCACGTCTCCACCACGCCGTCCATCTGTAACTGTCTTTTGAGCCAGTAGCATACTGCTTTGACTGCTTTGGTGTTAACTGCAAGTTCCCTAAACCCAAGAGAGGAGGAAATCTACGCCTTCGTCACACTTACATTCCCAAGAAAAATGCCTCTCTGACAGTGGAGTTGGCAGAAGTAAATCACAGTGGGGAAAGAAAAAAGGAAGCAGCCACATTTTCATCCAAGCTGGGGGAAGAACAAGGGAGAGAAAGTGACTAAAAAAGATGGTGGGAGAATGAATCAGAGAGAAGGCATGATCCCCCCTCCTTCAATCTTTGCAAAACCAACTCCCCCGCAGGGAGGAAGGGATTGCCTTGTAGACCTTCTCCAACTATCCGGGATTCCTTCTTTGTGATTCATGGGAAGATGGCTGGGAAACTGGGGGTGGCAGTGGAGAAACGTGGGTGGCTATTTTGGCCCGATCCTTCTCTTCCCTCCCTCCCCCCCCACCACCTTCCCCCCAGTTAGAATGAAGGGGGCTTTTTTCGGGGAGAAAGAGCTGAATCCAGCAGAGGACATCCAACGGTGCCGGAGCAGGAAGTGTAGCGACGCTGCAAAGCTTCAGAAGGGGGCCAAAAAAACAAAGGGCGAGATGAATAATCAGTGGCTTTCAAGCGATTTTATAAATACCGCGCTGACCATAAGCAAGCAGGCGCTGCACAGCAGAGGAATGCGTGGGAAGAGAGGCTCTAGCTCTGAGAAAGCAACATAAATCCTGTTGGTCTTTAGCATCTCTGTTAATCACCCTGGCGAGAACACGGGAAGAGGCTTGAATGGATCCAAAAGGGGGTAGATAAAGAGGGAGTCCCAGATGCCTGGAGCATCGAAGAATATTTTCTTCCTCTTCCTTGACCAGAGCGACAGCGCTATGCAGGATGCATGGACCACATCTCCATGCCAAAGGGGGGCAGAGACGCCAGCGGGGCAGCCGAGCTCAGGAAAGGAAATCCCATGTGCCTAATCTCCGATGAGACTCTGAAATCTGCCTGTTGTTTGGGAAGCTCTGGAGGGAGACAGACAGACAGACAGAGCCACCCGGTCCCTCTGCCATCTTACGGCTGCAGCAGGACACAAACAGAGCACGCACGGCACGTACAGGAAGGCACCTGGCTGGCTCCCTCGGATTTCCTTCGCAGGAAAGCAGAAGCGAATGTTCACATAGGCATTCCTCTCCTGAGGGTGTTCCGAAGGAAATCCGCTCCCTAGCGCTCTAGCTTTCAAGAGGCAGGGAAATTGTGCCCCATGTCAGATCTCTGCTGTACGCTCCTCTGAATCATCTCTTTTCTCCTCCCAGAACAGAGCTAAGAAGAGGAGAAGCGAGCCCTTATCCAGAGTCAGAATCCCAGAGCTAGAAATGATTTCAAGATCATTTATTCCAACCCCTTTCTTGGCACATGGTGGCACTACAGGAGGCAGCGATTCCTCCTTTGATGGGTGCTCAGCCTGCTTCTGTTTAAATACTACTACAGGAAAGAGAGGCCAGCCTTTCTGGGCACAGGCCATTTTCCTGTCAGTTTTTATTGCTAAAAAACCCTTCCCTAATGTTCAGCCAAAAATCCACTTCCCTGAAATTTGGTTCCAGCCCTGCCCCTTCGGATAATCAAGCCAAAGTCTGCGTGTCTCACAAATGAATCACACCAAATATATAACCCTTCCCCAGCAACCTCATTAAAAAAAAAAGTGATCAAAAAGCACGCAGCAAATTTCTAGTCCTCACGGCTATAAAAGAGAAGGCTGGAAACGGTAAGAAATCTGCAGCAGCTCCACAAGAATCTATTTCGTTTCACCCATTTTTCTTCTCCTTCTCTTCATCTTCTAATTGCTCTCCAGCTACTTGCCTGCAGGGGGGAAAAGTGGCATTGCTCAAGGGACGCCCCTCCTCTGTCCAGCTGTTCATCCAAGTGAGGACAAGAGCTGAATCAATCTGATACTGGGCTGCCGGAGAGATTGGAGTTGAATGCAGGATTGGGGGATTATGGAACGGATGTCTCCAATGCCTAATTTACCCCCCTATTTAAAACACCTTACTTTGTCTTCTCCCCTCTTCTTGTCTCAAGCATCTTGAATTTCTCTCTGTGCAGGAACACGTACAACGCATGTGGGGACATTCTATCTTTCCTAGCTGCACGCGTTTATTGGGTTATTCCAGCCCATTTTAAATCCAAAGCATTGTTTCCAAAGGTAAAAAGGAGAACCTTCAAATCTTCTCCCCTATGGTCGCCCCCAACATTCGGCCTTGCCCAACCTGGCTGGTTATAAAAAGCCAGCATACCAACTGCTTTCTATAGGAAAAGGGCAAGGTGTCACCCAGCCAAGCAATACAGTTTAATCTTGACGGCAGTAATGGAGCGTGGCACGGGCGTTGCACCCAAGAGTTACCTCTCCAAAACCCCAGAGGGAGGTGGGAGAGAGAAGAGAACAGGGCAGCGATTGTGAGTTGGGCGGACAGGTTCTGCCCAGCTTGGAAATTTCAGAGGGAGGCTCTTCCTAAGCAGCAAGAGGAGAATGATGGATAGCTTTTTACTGCCAGTGCTGTTTTTAGACTCTTCCACCCGCACAGTGCATTCCGCACAGGCCCAAGCGCAGGAAACTTGCCAAGCGAAGCAGGATGGGTGGAGCTCATTGGATGCAAAATGCCACCTTCTGCCAACACAGCCTCACCCTGGGCAGGAGCAGGTTCCCAGCTTGCAGAGAGGAGCCCAGGGGCCTTGACCTCACCAGAAACTGTCAGAGCACCTTCACCCCCTTCCCAGGGATGGGAGCAAATGGATGGGGCAAGACCGGTAGCCATTTCAGGCTGGAAGCTATGAAAGAGAAACCTGCCGCACAGGGAACCTTGCATTTCTCAGGAGCTCCCAGGAAGTTATACATCCTGGCTGGGATCGAAAGGCATCCGTGGTTCAGGAAAGCCCTTAAGATGTAAGCGATCCCCAGTTCATGAAGTGCAAGAGAAGGAAAACAGCAGAGACACTTGCTATAGAGAATGGCAAGGCATCCATCTGCGTAAATTGCCCTGCCTTCTTCCTCCACGATTCAGGCTGGCGTGCGATAAGGCAATGAGATCAACCAGATAAGCCCAAGGTCACCTTTGGAGTGAACGGTGGAGGAGGCATCCCATTCTAGCTCAGACTGTTCTGGAGTAGTTTATAAACAGGATAGAGAGGCAACAACCCTTTCTGAGAAGTGGGATTCAGGTTTCCTATTGCTTCTGGAATCATGAAAGTATGACCCAGCCATCAGTTCTAATTAGAAAGTATGACCCAGCCATCAGACCAAAGGGAGGCCTCTAAAAAGCCCTCGGTGGCCATTCCTATCTTTAGACTTCCTTCTCCAAACAACCTGAAAATGCTCCTCCGAAATGTGGGTCTTTTTGTAGCCTTCATCTGTGCAATCAGGAGGCACTGTGAGCCACACACAGACCACAGGGTGACCTTCTCTCAGGTGGCCAAGCGCTCATAGAAGCAGAGCTGTCCTTCCGCCCCTTCAAAGAAAGCCACCCAAATCTAGGAAACGATCAGGGTGATCAAGCAAGCCCAATGTTTGCCAGAATGATGATTAAATAACTCAGTTCAGGGCAGCTGCCCCCCCCCGACCAAATGATCCCCAGTAAGGATTGGGAATAGCCGGTGGCCAGCCGTACCAAATTCATCTCCAACGTGCTGATGGGTCACTAACCCTCAAGAACTATGCCTGCTCCAATCTCACCTTTCAAGGAAACATTTTGCCAATCCCTCTATTACCAGCTCCAATATGGTGACTAATAATGAAAGCATCATTAAAAAAGAAAATCAGTACATTATCCTCAGTCTCAACTGCGAGACTCTGCAGTTGGCAAATCTACCTTTAAGCCTTTGCTTAAAAAACAACAACAGAACAACACCATTACTGTCTCATTGGCCACTCTTTCCCATCCTCTGCTTGAGCAGATCAGGGCTCCTGCTCCTGACCTGAGGAATGTCCTTGGTACAAAATGCAACAGAGAAAGGGTTGAGAAAAATTTGGCGCATCTGGTAGGAGACCGAGAACTAATGGCAAACAGGCTGCAGTTGATACCATGACTCTTTTGATCAAGCATCAAGAAAACAGATGGAGATTCAACCTCTAAAGAGAAAGTAGTATAGTATAATGGTTACAGTGGTGTCCTCAGACTAAGACTTCACATTCCAATCTTCACTTGGCCATCACATTTGCTAAATACTTGCGGTTCGTCGTGATGGTTGTTTAGGTTTGGTTTAAGGCAACCAGCAAACCCACCCATCGTGGTTCAGCATTAAATCATCTTAAAAATGTCTTGTTTAGAGAGATGCATAAACTTAGCTGCTTGCTCATACCTTCAGTCTGGCCTCCCTCGTGGGTGTGTGATGCAGCTTGGAAGAGGAAGGACTTCCTTAGAGGAAATGGGGGATGAAATTGCTATAAAAAAACAGGCAACTCTAGGACTGTGCTCAGAATAGAGGCTGCTCAAAAACTCAAGTTCTGTTTACATTTCCGATCAGAAGGAGGTTTCTGGTCCTCACGGTCGCTAAATCAGATTTGCAAAGCCAAGGTGCCATACCAGGAAGACTATCTTTTAGGAGGAGGAGAAAAACACACGCACACCCAAATGCTCACCAAGCTTACCATTGTTGCAGTGGCGCACGCAGTCTTGAAAAATCGCCCGCCACTTGTCTTGCTCCTTGCCAGTCATCACACAGAAGTAGTAATGCCGGGCATAAGGATGCCAAAGGATGAGGGGGAACTGGGTGGGGCATTTGATGATGGAAGCATGGCTCGGTTTGGATGTGGAGCCTGGAGGGGGAAAAACAACAACACAGACACACAATGAACAAACGTGAGCCCAGCAAAGCCTGAGAGTGATTCCTGCAGCAGGAGATTCAGATATTCCTGCTTTGTCCTCTTGAAGCCAGATGCACGTGTGAGCCAGATGGGACTTCCGGATTCAACTGCCAATGACGAATTCCCCAGAGGCTCAGGAGCGCAGAGCAAGAAGCAACTACATCTGGCAGGCTTAGACTTGGTTACTCAGAAAGGAAGGCAGGAGGCTCTATTCCCAGCAGACGCTCATGGTGCAAAGAACACAAGGATGCCGAACTGCATGGTACTCCATAGGGGTCAAGCCACAGAAGCCACAGACAATGATGTAACCCATAGAAAATGGTGGTACTTATTAGAAGAAGATTGCATCCCACCTCCTTAGGAAGTGATGGGATATCTGTCATTAAAACAGGCTAAATGGCCCAATACCAGGAAGGCTGTAATTGCAAGATCCCTGTGATGGATTGCTAGGAGGACTAGATTACTTCAAAGATCCTTTCTAATGCCATGGTTCTCTGAGCCACCTTTCCTCTCCAAATGTCTCAGGGCAGCTCAGGAAGAACGTCTTTCTTGTGTTCAAGCAGTTTGGCTGGTGGCCCTGAGAACTTTTCTAGCACACATCTTCACCTGCTTGGAGGGCCACTTGAGAAGTGTGTTTTGTTTACTGAGCATCCTTGACAGGCCCTCCTTGCAGGTCCTAAAGTGGCCTTCAGATAACACAAGTTAAAGCAATTCCCTTTCAAGCTGGTAGCAAGCGGGCAGGAACCACACCAACCCTCGTAAGAGGCTGAACAAAACTCTTGGTCTGGCCTCCTAAGATAAAAAATATCAGTTGCATTTTCACAGCCAGCTAAGGTGGCCGTGCTTGAAATATAGAGACTGTCTTCTTGAATAGAGAGTATCTTTACAGCTGCTGCAGTTACAGAGTTGGCTTGCATCTTGCTTCTGTTGGGCAAGCACATTCTCCTACTGCTGGTTCAAGTAAGGAGTCCTGCTCATCCACTCACCACCAAAGAGGTGACTTTGTCATCTGATGTGGGACAGCTCCTCTGAAGACACCATTTTCATCCTCCTGAGACACGTTCCTTCTATCTGCCTCCCTGTTCCCTTCCCACTGCTTGGTGTCAATGCTCAATGCTTAGAAATATTTGTACAGCAGTAGCCGATCTCTCTCTCTCTTCATTCTCCCAAAAGAAAGACCACCAGTTTGCAGGCAGAACACAGGCAATGCTGCTTCTTTCTCAACCTCTTTCACTCTGGAGCCCAACGGAAGGGTGGGGAAGCTGTGGCTGGTTGGATAATGCTGAAGGATGACTCCCATCGAGTCCAGTTGGCATGGCTAACAGCTCAGCATCATCTGAAGGGCCCCAACTTCCACACTCTTGCTGCCTCCAGGCTCATTTGTGTCTGAGGGAGGACCAGCTGGGATTCACAAAGTAGAACTCACCCGTTAAGTTGTGGCTGACCAGTTCCAAATATTGTTCCAAGGAGGTGAGGATCTTGTAGCCAGCACTGTTGATGAGAATTCGGGGTTGCAGACCCCTTTCGTAGGCCTGGAGGAGGGAGATGGGAACACATAAACATACAGTGTTCACGTGGTCAACATTCCTGCCACAAACGGCCTCCCCTAGAGCTATCATACTTTATGAAACCTTGCCAAGATGTCCAAAGCAATTCCGTCCCAAACTGCCTACCAATTCTCAGGCTGTTTGAGGATTTCTTTTTGGTTTCTGTTTTTGGCAGCCTTGGCAAATTTACAATATTTCCCATGACGGATCTCTTCATTCTACCATCGCTTCCTAGCTGTCCACGCTTCTTAAGCTGCATAATAAAAATGTGTATTTCTCCCTGGGATTTCCCCTTGGCACTGCATGACAATGTGCCAAGTCAGGAAGCTACAGATGGTTGGGGAAAGGATTGTGCTGTACACACAGAAGGGACACTTGACTCACTTGGCCTCGTTGTAAGGAATGAGCTCAACCCCATCTTACCCTTGAAAACTTCACCCATGCTATTTTCCTCTTTTAGGAAAAAAAATCTGCTCCATGATGAACAAAAAGAGAGAGAGAGAGAGGCTGAATTAACATTTGGCACGGTCCTAATCAAAAAGGGGACAAACCAATCCAGGGAACCCCTCCCATCTGATGGCTTTACTAGCTGGCCAAGTGAGAGCGACTGAAAAGTCTCTTTCTGGAGGACTTCATTTTCGGCAGAAGGGTCTCTTGGTTGGCTATCCATGGAGCTGCTCTGAAAGACAATCTCTCAAGAGGCTTATGTCCCCGTTGAGAAAAGGAGAGTGGGTGCCCCTCGGCTCTTCTCCTTCTCCACCCACCAGGGAGCAGAAGTTAGCCTTTGTAAAGCCTTCTAGAGCCTCACCAGTTTGTTCTCGTACAGCACCAGCCCATAGTTGTGGGGCACGATGCTGAAACGGTTCCTCCACTTCTTGTTTTCTTCTATGTACTGGAAGAGATTGCCTGAGAAGATGGTCCGATCCTCCAGAGGCACCTGGAGAGGCACAGGGGAGGGAAAAGTAAGGAACAGCATGAGCTGGAGAAGATATTCTCCAGACTCTTTTGAACGTCTTTGGATGACGTTGGCAGATTATAGAGACACTAATGCATAGGCAGAAATTGCTTCCCTACGTAATCATTTTCTTTAAAAAAAAGAGTTGACTTTTTTTACGCCTTTTGTAATGTTCCGTATTT